CTTGCAACATCACGTTGACTCGATCCTGCTTCAAGCATACCAATGGCTCGCTGACGCTCATTTTCGGACAGGCGTGGCATTTCGTCATGTTGAATATTTGCGTAAGTTTGTTGTTTTTCTGAGTGGTTGTTGTCAGCACGATGCTAAACAAAGCATATGGAATCCCGTTAACGCACATGTTTTTATACCCATTCTTGGGTAGTGAAATGCATGGGGCTTGCATAAAAGTCAACTTTTGCATGGAATGCATGCTTTTCTGTAGCAGTTGCGTTTTTGTGACCTGATTCCATACATGTACTACAATATTGAAAACCAAACTTTATTTTGAAAAATACACTAAAATATTGGTGTCATAGGAACCTTTGTTGTTAAGTATATATAGTAGGTGGAGGATTAACAGTAGAGGATTAACAGTAACAGTGGCGGCGAATATGAACTGCTTCTGTTTTCTTTAAGTGAAATCATGGAGGTTGTTGGAGAGGATTTGGACGCCATTGGGACATGTATTGCCCCAAAATAATCTGTCGGGCTGTAATGCACAGTTGCAAATACGTTTGTACCGGGTAGACCACCCCACATTTCAGTTTTATTATACCCCCGAGCTAAACCTATGTGTTGAGTCCAGTACAAACTAAACAGATCGGGTGGTAAGACTCTGTGATTTGGTCGATGGCATGTCAACTACGTGGATCGATAATCATTATGTCAATCACTATATTGTCTGGTCCAAAATCTATTATTTACATACAGTCCAAGGTCCTACAAACTAAATATTCCCAAAATTGCATCCCTTTGGAAACAAAAAGGCAGAGGAATTGCTCAGCTCATGTTGTTTAGTATGGTTGCCATGATGGTATTTGAAAGTAGGAATCGAAACCCTGGGGTTTCGTCACTGGCAGGAACATGAATGTGAAGTTTCAGTGGTTTTAGAGAAGTTTTTCCGTGCATATGGGATGACGGACACGCAGTCCACAACATAAACTAAAGTGACTTTCAGACGTGTGAGCTATAATGCTAATGTGTGCACTGGTATAGCAGGATAGCTTACCCTTTTTGCGAACACCCGGTGTCGTCACTGATTTTCAGTTGCCCATTCATATGAATCTCATCGCTATTGTGCCTTTAACGCCCAGTGGAATCTGTTTCGACGGATGATGGTGACTCATTTATTCTCTGGCGGTAACGTTTTATATTTACATAATTGTGAGTGAAAAGTCAACATATGCAAAGGTCAGAAAATAGGTCAAGGAGACAACCAAAGTTGGCTATGGAGGTGGGAGTACTGCATCAGATCAAAGTGGGTACTCCTTCAGATTACATATGTCTGTATATAATCCTTGTTATGTGGTGGCCGCTGGCACTATAAAAGCGGCATTAGCCCGGACTGGCACAATCATCCCCCGCAACCACCCACGTACATCCACAACGCTATCTACATGCAATAGTATTGCTATTAATCCCCATTTCACCTCATCTTATCATTTTACAATGCATCAAAACATCTCATTCATAACCTCAGGTGTAGCCCATCGCGATGTTGTGATTGCTGCGTATGAAGTGTGAAATAATATGTTCCATAAATCTTATCACAACGCAATTTGAAGGTAGGTCACCGATATACAGCATCAACATTCAAGAACATGACCACAGATAGATTACATTTCCCGTCAGACATTTTTCAAGTGTAGCGACTGATGAAAATGACTTTGTTGTGCTCATATTCAATTATCAGAAATTATTCACGTTACGTGAACATGATCTTTATTTGGCAGTAAGGGAATCCATTTTCACAATCAACTGCAAACTGTTTCCCTCGTCTGCAGTGGACTGGTCGAATAGGGAATTTTGTATTTAAACCGGAGTTTCTGTCCCAATTGTTCTCTACAATCTGGACGATAGTAAGTACGTTTCTTGACCTCTCTCTATTTTCGAAAAAAAGCATTTATTTGCATTGTAGATGTAAATGGTTCTGAAATAGATATCGATGGTTTTCTTAACCTGGGAGCCGGGTCTTTGGAACCAACACGACCATACATATACTGACAAAAAACGAAACGTCGGGCTTTATTTTAACCAAAATAATATAACATTGTCATGACGATGTAAACTGTGATGTCATATTCCATGACATGCGCTGCCTTTTGAGTAGATATTAACAGAAATCAGTCACTGAAACATCCGTGGAACGATGAGGCTGACGTTACTGTGGAAGTGGTATCACAACTGAAAGTGACATTATCAAAACCGTATTTTTCTTGTGGAATGTTTTTTTCCGTTCTGCAAACAAGGCAGTTTCAAGTTCCCGGCTGATTCTGACGTCGTTTTACACGTCTGTCTAAAGAATCCCACAAATGTTCAATTGGATTAATGTCCGGACTTTTGGCTGGCTACGCCATGACATCCACGTTGTTAGCCTGCGTAAAGTCCCGTCTGATGCATGCAGTGTTACTTGTAGCATTGTCATGCTGAAACGTCATGTTGGCGTTGAGTTAAGGGACACCAGGCAAGGAGCAAGGATCTCGTCCCTGTAGCGCATCGCATTCAGGTTTTACGAATAGGAACAAGGCCGTGTGCAATTCCAGCCCAAACAATTACAGATGCAGCTCCTGCTAAACGATCTCTCTCAGGAACGCAAGCGTCAGCATAACGTTCATTCCTCCGTCTGTACACCCGCTGTCGACCGTCATATCTGGAGAGTGAAAAAAAGATTCGTCACTCCAGAGCACTCCCTGCCATCCAACGCAGATGTGCAAGAGCCCGCTCGCGACGTTGACGTCGATGACGTTGGGTAAGAATTTACCCAACGTATGGCCTCCTGGTTCTCCGACCATATTGTCGCAACCGATTGCGAACAGTTTGAGCACTGATTCTCTTGTTATAAGTTCCTTGGGTGGTCTGTGCAGTAAAAGTTGCTGAGAGGAAACGATTGCGTAAATGTTACGTCCCAATATAGAGGTCTTGAGCTGGTGTTGTTACACGTGCACGTCCACTTCTCGGACGATCAGTGGTTACTCCAGTTGCATTGTAACTCTCCCTCAGACATGTAATGCAACGACCGCAGTACGCATGCCTGTGTGCAACTTTCCGATGGCTCTGTCACGAACATTATTGGGAGTCTTGGCATTTGTTTTAAAGGTAATCGTGGGAACAAGAATGTGTTCACCGTGTTTTCTCGTGTGTTCCAACAATTGCCGTCAATGATAATCAGTCACCCTAACATTCACGCACACGACATGATACTTGTGCGGCGATCATGCGTTTTGCATCATTTTAGGATTGTGGGTGTAACGATTGCTAATGCTCAATTAACTGTGCGGGTTTGATACTCGAACTCGCTTATCTTGTCTGTAAACTAAGTCATTGCAGACAAAAAATAGAAATATAGATCAGATAAGTCATTATAAAAAGACAGAAGGATCAAGTAGTTTATTAACCACCTTGGATCGTTTTCGGTCGGTCCCAAACATACCAACTTGTCATTTTGGTCAAAACGGCTCTCATTCAGAGATGTGAGGTGAAATGGGGTTTAACGTCGCGTCCAAGATTATTGCACTTATATAGCGACGTGCATGTACGTGTGTGTGTGTGTATGTGTGGCTGCTTGTACTAGTCCGGACTGATGCCGATTTATAGTGCTAGCTCACTGAGATACCATGTCGCAGTTTAACATGAATACCCTACTCAGACACAGTATACTGACTCCGAGCCGACCAGTCCTTGTTTTAGCCCCTTAATGCCGAGCGCCAGACAGGGTAACAACAAGTGCCATCTTTTAACGTCTTTTGGTATGACGCGGTCGGGGATCGAACCCCGGACCTTCCGCTCTCCGGGCGGACGCTCTACCACAAGACCACGGAGGCGGTTTCATTCAGAGAAGATGGGCAAGTTGTTCTTCAGACTAAGACTTCTACATAAACAAGTTGACAATGTAGCATGTTCAAATTTAATTTTAGAAATCACTCTGAATTTCTACAAGATCTGAGATCATTATTATAACACACATATATATACTTGGCCCATCTATTGTGAAAACAATATACACCCATTGTATAGAAACATGCCCGTAGATGCTAATATTTCTACCTTACCCAGGTATCAGCTGTAGGTCTCAAGAGTTGGGTGCAAAATGTCAGATTGGTAATTGGTTTACCAGAGCCCTCGCAAAAACGTTCTGATCATGCATACTCTGAAGTTGACAGAAGCTTCAATATTTACTCAAACATATAAAATCAGAAGGAATGTGTGCATAGTCTGAAAGAAATGCGACCATTTAATGACTTGTAGTGTAACCATTTACTTGTTATTGTCATAAAACTAAACAAAGTTCCGGTTAGATCTAGTACTGGGGGTACCCGGGTCCTACTCATGACCTGCGAAAGTCGTGAGCGCGAAACACTGAAGTTAAGGAGAAAACCCTCTGAAATGGGAAAACTGATCAAAAACGAATAAAATATGCCTGTACCATAATTTATCAATGTGTTACCAAGTATATCCAGGTGTCCGAGAATATTATAGAAAACCCCATGTGGCCGAAAGGTCGCAGATGTCAAATTCGCAATGTTTTTATATTATCAATACTATCATTACATAATGACAAAGAAATAGTTCCAAACGTCCTGTGCAGACCTTCTATCCCAACAGACACTTTGGGATGGCTGCCACATAGTTGTAGGATCTAGATAATTAGGCGACACAAATATATATATATATATGTAAATATTTTCATAATTACTGATTGTAATAGAAAAACGTAGTATGTTTACGTGAATGTTAATGCACTGTAGCAGTTCAGTCACAGTATATGCGTAACAAAATTATGTTGATAAATGTACTAAACCGCCGGGCAAAAGGCAGCATACAATTAAAAATTGGATTTGACAAAAAAATCGAAAACATTTTGAAAACGTACCTTGGCTGAAACTAGTCACCTAAACACTGCGAACTTTAGGTCCAAAACACAATTATGATTACCGTACAAAATACATCACCATCTTAGTATGTCTTGATGTTTAATGTCTAGTCACCATCAAACATTGATGTAGAATTTCCTTTGCCCGGCAGTTGAAATAGAATAGAATTTACATTCGAGGAACTATGAGTGCGTCATCCAAGTTGAACGAAAGCATGACACAGAAAGAGAGAGAGGAAGCCAAGGCTATGGTTGACTACCTTATTGGGGACGAGGAAACCAGCAGAGAAGATATTATTGGACGGTTTTCCCAAAACAGCCAACAATATGAAAAGGTTGGTATCGGTCAGTGAACACTGGTAGAACAGTAATGATTTCCAAATGAATGAATTATATTGAGTTCCCCATCACTACAATAAGAAATGACATGCATGTATGTATAAACGATTTGTATACAACGTATATACACAGTTTGCATTTACTAAGATCACAGAGAAAGTTATTGGGTTACACTAGACCTTTCTGGTGTCTATTTTTAAAAAAGATGCCAACTTTTCAAATGCCCACATAAACATGCTATAATATTTTCTATTTACTTTACATATAAATTGAACGATTCATAATGTTGTATTTGATATCTTTGTCCAACATGGATAGTATATGGTAATCGACCCGTGAAGATCCGGGGTAGAATAGGCCTTCAGCAACCCATGCTTGCCGTGGAAGATGACTATGCTTGTCTTAAGAGGCGACTGACGGGATCGGGTGGTCAGGCTCACTGACTTGGTTGATGCATGTCATTGATCCCAATTGCGTGGATCGATGCTCATGATGTCAATGACTAGATTGTCTGGTCCAGACTCGATTATTTACAGACCGCGGTCATATAGCTGGAATATTGGTGAGTGCGGCGTTAAACAACAAACCAACCAACCAACAAACAACTCAGTGGAGAACACAATTTAGCATTGTTAATGGCAATTAGAATGGCCTACACTACCGGGACGACATGAGGGTAATGCCCGCCCTTTTGCACGTGTTGTAACAGACTTTTTGAGGCAGCGTAACATTGCTGTAGTGCTGTTTCTCCAGTCCTCCCCCCCACAGGACATGTCTTGGATGAGATGGAGAGACACTTACGACAGGATCAGAACCAGTTGGTAACGCCAGCCCAGTTGTGGGAATCTTTGGTTGAGATTTGGAACATCTTCCAAGCTGTTTTCAGTCATCTGGTGTATTCAATGCGCCGCTGCTGGCTCGCCTGTATCAACGCAAACGTTGGTCACACCCGATTGACATTGTTAATTGAATTGTGATACCACCCCTCTTATAGGGCCTGTCACTCTCTCTCCAGTCACAATGTGTGGAATTTTTTGTCAATTAATTTAATATGATAAAACCTTCATCAGACGAATGACTGAAAATTATGTTGTTATTTTCTATAACATAAAGTTTACACTACTTTATATGAAGTACAGTTACTATTTTCCGCTGGTATAGTAAAACTTCCTTTGTCAACACTACAGATAAAATACCAATATCCAGAAACTTTATGACCAAGTATAACTACCATGTGCTTAAACATCCAGCATCCTAGTTTAACCTTGTCATGGATATTTCATGACCTGATGGGTTAGTGAGTGAGTGAGTGAGTGAGTGAGTGAGTGAGTGAGTGAGTGGATATTTCATGACCTGATGGGTTAATGAGTGAGTGAGGTTTTACGCCGCTTTTAGCAATACTCCAGCAACATCACGGCGGGGGACACCACAAATGGGCTTCACACATTGTACCCATGTCGGGAATCGAACCCGGGTCTTCGGCGTGACAAGCGAACGCTTTAACCACTAGACTACCGGACCGCCCCTCATGACCTGATGAACTAAACTGCAACATATTCATGAAACATGAACAATTTCCTTTTCCGGTTTTTCTCCTGTTTACAAATGATGTAAGTGACCACAAGGCGATATCTAAATAAAAATGACAAAACCCTTTCCATATTCACAAGAAATCTCTGTCAAAAACAGTCGATTGTACGATTCCGACCACAAGTATGACGAGATGTTTCTGATCTCCTTCACTGTCAAGGTTTTACAAGGATATCTCCATAATCATTGAAACAATTTGCAAACCATATTGAAAGACTACTGTGCATAATTTAAGAGTGTGTTTATTGACAAACACGAAGAATTCACTCATAATCTTTTCATTTTGCAAAAGGCTATGAAAGGGATAAACTTCAAGTGTCCAATGCAGACTGCACAGACAACTGCTGAGCTGTTTCCTGGCGAACGAAAAGATGTTTATGTCCTGGATGTGGCTGCAGGAACAGGCCTTTGTGGAGATGAGGTTGGTATATTCTATACATTCATCTGGTATGATTTGCCGTGAAACTTCATAGTCCATGGCCATATTTGTTTCTTTGTAGTTGAATTTTAGATTTGGTTGGTTTGTTTGTTGATGAACGCCGCAAACTCCTGATAACCAGTATAAATTAAAACGGTTCTGTTAACTAGATAACCTCGGTCACTTTCAACAGAGAACGTTTTCGTTGTCTATGACGTGGGTCTCACATAAACAATACTCTGTACCAACTGCAACTGACGGACATGACTTAGCAATGTGAACGAGGATTTATGTTTGTTTGTTGTTTAACGCCGCAATCAGCAATATTCCAGCTATATGACGGCGGTCTGTAAATAATCGAGTCTGGACCAGACAATCCAGTGATTGATATCATGAGCATCGATCCACGCAATTGGGATCGATTACATGCATCAACCATGTCAGCGAGCCTGACCACCCGATCCCGTTAGTCGCCTCTTACGACAAGCGTAGTCGCCTTTTACGGCAAGCATGGGTTGCTGAAGTCCTATTCTACCCCGGATCTTCACGGGCTAGTTGAATTTTAGAAAACTGCGAAATGGTTAAAGTAGAGGATGTTAAATGTGTCTGGTCAAATTCGAGGTCCGCCGCCACGGCCGCAATTGTTTTTCTGAACTATGCGCTCGGATGTCAGAGACCTCAGGAGAGACTTCATACCTGATATATATTTATAAAGGGGAATGTTCCTGTCATATGATTGGATGACACTGGAGGTCAAGGTCACTCAGTGTAAAGAAAGAACATTTATGATTAGAATTTGATAAAACTTGGTATACGTGATCACTAAGGCAGGACCTTACGTCCATGTAAGGTCGAGGTAACAAGAGGTGACAAATATATAACTGCTTAAATCGTATGACCTTTCGGATTAATTCATGATAATTCATAGCATTTTCTAGTCAGTACTCTAAGTAACTCAATTCGTGTCCTAACACTGGTTGATGTACGATTAGTTCAGGGGCTTACATCCTCCGAATCTAGGCCCACCACGGAGAGGCGTACATCATCCATCCCTCAATTAATTCAATCACTCATTCAGAATGTGCTTCAATATGTTTATTGATATTTTGTATTCTGGAAGGATATAAAGAAACCTCGTAAATAGTCATGACAGTAGAGGAGCAGCCTACAAAGTGTACAAAGCAGTAACCAACACTTACACAACTAGAGTCGTAATAACAGCAAGAACAGGTAGAAGATAGAAGCTGAATAGTATACTAGCCACATAAAGAAACTGTGCACGGAGAAAATATAGATATAAGGGCACACCGTCCATATATGAAATAGAAGTTTGAACACAGCAATTATTGGAGACATTCAAAAGCTCATGCACGTGCCATGCGATATGACGTCATTGATGGGGGCCTATGGACGTGCAATGTGTTACTGCACGTGCATCCTGTGCAGCTGTACACAGCATGTGCAACTCAAAATTCGCTGTCACTTTAGAAAGCATGATCTGTGGTCATTCAAAAATTCAAAACTTCTCAGGCGCAGACACAAGCATCAGAACACAAATGACGTTGCCGACCACCCACGTACAGGACGTCCCCGAGTAACGACGCCAAGACAGGACAGATGGATTCGAGTTACACATCTCCGACACAGGTTCCAAACGGCAGTAACGACGTCCCAGACAATTCCTGGACTGCGCCGTATCCATCCCAACACTGTCAGGAATCGTTTACGTCAGTACGGGATTCGACCACGACGCCCTGCCATACGTCCCATCCTGACACACCGTCATCGAGTCAACCGTCTAAGATGGTGTCGAAATCATGTTTGCCAACCTCGAATATGGTGGAGAAATGTTGTCTTTACAGATGAATCGAGGTTCAATATTTCCCACAGTGACGGGCGCCAACGTGTCTACCGGCGTTTGGGAGAACGTATTCCACGCAACTGTATTGTGGAGAGGAATCGTTTTGGAGGTGGCTCTGTGATGATTTGGGGTGGGATAACAGCACGGCACCGAACCCCTTTGGTGGTTGTTCAGGGCAATCTCACCGGTGTTGGCTACAGAGATCAGATTCTGAGGCCTGTGGTCATTCCTTTCCTGCAACGTCATGGCCCGGGATTGACATTTCAACAGGACAACGCTCGTCCTCACACGGCTAGGGTCGCGATGGATTTCCTTCACCATAACAATGTCATGTTACTGCCATGGCCTGCAAATTCTCCAGATCTCTCCCAAATGTAGCATGTGTGGGATGAAATGGAGCGCCGTCTGCGTCGTCTTCCACATCCTCCAGATAACGTCCGTGACTTGGCACAGGATTTGAGGAGGATATGGCAGGCCATTCCCCAGGCCTTCCATGCCCATTTGGTGGACTCCATGCGTCGCCGATGCACTGCTGTGATTCACGCACATGGTGGTCATACCCGTTATTGACTTTGTGACTTTGTCGTTTGACCCCCTACTCCATTTTGATCTTCTGACGTCATCGTAACAGATGTTGTTCAGGTCCCGTTGACATTTTCTTATGGTCCGATCATTCAGCTGCTACAGCGTCTGAATCATTTTGTTCTTGCTGTGTTGTATTTCAATCCAGAATATATTTTCTCCGTGCACAGTTTCTTTATGTGGCTAGTATATTTATCAGTGTGCTATACGCCAAACTGTGTAAGAACTGAATGAGTGGATAATCACCCTAACATGTGCAAGGGTCAGAAGGTAGGTTAAGGAGACAATTAATGTTGTCTATTTAATCATTCTAAAGGAGTTAAAACTAATTGCTGGAACCAACGCTGCCATTTTTTCTCTTAGACCAAAGATCTTTAAGCCAGTGGTTATCATCGGGAAATGAATGGGTTTTTTACTGGTTCGAGGCTCCATATGGCCAAAGTGTTATTGTCATGCATAATATCACAAATCGTAATTTACAGGATCCGGATTCCACCACCTCATAAGCAGCCAATCAGACGTCAAGCAGTTGATCCATGCCTAGTCCTCTTGTCCTTTAATCAACTAGTCCTCTAGTATATATTTTTGTGAAGAGAGTATATCACGTAATTAGAATAGAGGACGAGTCTGCAACGGGAAGTTATTACCATCAATCTCTTTGTAGCCTTCATTATCCTTCTGTGCTGATGGTTTTTGAAGGTTCCAGACGCTCCCTGTTCTTTGTTGCACGGAGTCGCAAGAAGTCATATGTCGTTTGATTTAAAATATTTCAAAAATCTATTTAATTTACTCCATGGTTGCTGAATTCATCTACACGGAAAAGAATAGATATATCTGTATTGTGATTCTCAAATGTTCAAATGTATTAAAGTGAAAATGTCTCTTATTATGGTGATATGTTTTGTGACTTTTACAGCTTTATCATCATGGCTTTCGAAACATGGATGCCCTGGATCCGTCGAGTAAGATGCTGGATGAGGCAAGGAAGAAAGGACTGTATGGTCGATACTTCATTGAAGTTTTAGGAGAAAATACCATAGACATTAAAAATGGTACGTGGTGGGAATGTGACAGTGAGGCACAGTCAGTGTTGATAGTATGTTCCTAAAAAGGTTTTCCTGTTGGCTATAGGCCATGCCTTATGCATCAGGACTCGACACTGTCACACACATATTTAGAATGGATGCCATATGGCCGGTATGAGTTTACAAATGTTTTATCTTATTTGTTTCTTGCAAATTTAATCAATAACGTTTTTTTATGTCTGGTGATAAAATATCACGTGATATGTGTTCCTTAAATGGTATTGGTGGCATCTATTATACGGGGGTCCAAATCCCAATTTTGCCCTGCTTATGATTCTAGGTAACCGTCCTGTGCCTGTGGGCTTCACCAAAGATGGAAACATCTGAAACGAAAATGTGTTTATAATATGATACGGTAATAGGTTAGAGCTGCATGTCGGTTCATCTGAAGAATTGCAGTCACGTCGAAATACGTTGCTGCCATAAAAAAGAAGAAGAATATGCTGTGCTCTCATTTTAGAGATAAACTTAACCTGTATAAATCTCTCTATTGTCCTGAAATTTGGAATACACTCTCTCAATCACTTTCTACGAGTTAATCACTTCCTATCACTTCTTAAAATATTGTACTAGCCACAACTCTGACTTCTGTAGCTTCTTTGATAGGCATTTAGAAGTTGGAGTACTAAGTAAGGATAAGAATGTATGGATGAACAACTTCTTTATTCATTTTTGTAATAAAGAAGTTGTTCATCCATACATTCTTATCCTTACTCTGCCTTCTGTATCTTATTATTGTGTATATCATTATTTCAAAATGCCTGCATACAATGAGGGAGGATGTGATAGTTTTCAAAAAGCAACAGTGGTATTTGTGATTATGAAATACAATTCAGTATTTTCATATTCATGGAAGAATATTCATCGAAAAGTTGATACTTCATTCTACAATGACATTGAAGAATGCTTAATTTTGATTGGTTAAAACGAGGTTTCATTTTTGCTACGGAAAACTTGATGGAATTAATTTCAGAACACGCAGAATTAAGACAACCATACACACGCTGGCTTTGAATCCGTGAAATCTTGAAATTGACCAGTCAAATCATGCAGATTCCTCGTGTCAACAGCAGCCTGAAGAGCGGCTGTTTTGTCATACGCAGTTCCATTGGAAATTTACCAGCAGGCTCATTCCCAGTAAATATACACGTTAATGTTGAACCACAATGTAGGTCAGGGTTGTCATCTTGCTTCGTGTAATACGGAGAATGTAAACACATCATTGTCAGCCATCCACAGTGCGGCACGACTAACCGCGATCTAGGTCAAGTTCTGCCACATCCAAGGTCGGGTGGAGAGGGATTTATTTTGATTTTTTACATTATTTACTGGGAGTAATTGCCATACAACTAATAACACTTACACATGAAAAAAATAGTGGAATGTTAATTCGTAAACTTTGATGGAGAAGTATATTCGTTCAGCATTTTTAATATTAAACCTGTTCCTCCTACAATGGAAATGTCATGTTCGATTTCCAAGAAATGGCTTCTCTCGCAGTTGTCCAAACAGTGCACACCATGCTGCTGTTAAATTAAACATCTACAGTAAACTACGGTTATAACGAACACGCTTATAACGAACTGACGGATATAACGAACTTACTTTTTTGTCCCGACTATTTGCTGTAGTTCTGCTGTATATATGCTTATAACGAACTAGGGTTATTACGAACTAAAATTAGCAGTCCCTTTAAGTTCGTTATAACCGTAGTTTACTGTATCTTTGGACTAAGTTTGGAGGGTTATTTGTCAACTTCTTTTTGAAAAACTATGTGTTTTGAACATTTATTTTGAACTGATCAAGACTATGGGTATTTTGATGTTTAACTTCAGTAATATTTGTTACATAACTACCTGTACTAAGATTGCGTACCTGTGTACCCTGTGTTGTTACGCGTGGCAAGAGAGCACCGTTTTCAAAGCGTTGTTGCGGTCATGGCAGTATGGAGATAAACCTAATCTGTTTTGAAGGTTGATGTAGTCCCGCTGGAGAGTAGATACCTCGGTTCAAATTCAAATACAGTAAACTACGTTTATAACGAACACGCTTATAAGGAACTGACGGATATGACGCACGTATTTTTTTGTCCCGGTCACTGCTGTATCTGTGCTGTACATATGCTTATAACGAACTACGGTTATAACGAACTAAAATTAGTAGCCCCTTTGAGTTCGTTATAACCGTAGTTTACTGTAAGAGGTATCTACTCCACAGTGGGACTTCATCAAATTTCAAAACAGAGTAGGTTTATCTCCTGAATCAAAACCCACATGGTCGTGTATGTCAGCCTAAACAAATTAATCATTCTGTACGTTTGTCAGTCTATAAGATATGTCCCTTTTCACTTCGAACAGTGAAATGTAACACTGTTTCTTTCATTTTCAATTGGACGTGGCCGAGCCAGGTTCAATGTGAATCGTGTTAGGTTATTTGTTGAGTATTTCACCCCACTATTTATATGTGTTTCAGATACATATGATGCGGTGACAATATCGGGTTTGAGCGCAATGGTTTTGAAAAAAATGCCTTTAAAGGCAATGAAGGAGCTCATCCGCATTGTCAAACCAGGTAGGTATGCGACAATGATTCCCATGAAACATCACAACATTTCCATGATCCATTGTATGGTATCGTAGCTCCGGTTGCTGGTGATCTACAGCGAATTTATTATTAGTTATTGTTAATTAAAGGTTGTTTGCTGTCCTCTGTTGACATTTGACTGTAATATATAGTTTACAAATGCTTTGGTCACAATGATCCCCATGAAACATCACAACATTTCCATGATCCATTGTATGGTATCGTAGCTCCGGTTGCTGGTGATCTACAGCGAATTTATTATTAGTTATTGTTAATTAAAGGTTGTTTGCTGTCCTCTGTTGACATTTGACTGTAATATATAGTTTACAAATGCTTTGGTCACAATGATCCCCATGAAACATCACAACATTTCCATGATCCATTGTATGGTATCGTAGCTCCGGTTGCTGGTGATCTACAGCGAATTTATTATTAGTTATTGTTAATTAAAGGTTGTTTGCTGTCCTCTGTTGACATTTGACTGTAATATATAGTTTACAAATGCTTTGGTCACAATGATCCCCATGAAACATCACAACATTTCCATGATCCATTGTATGGTATCGTAGCTCCGGTTGCTGGTGATCTACAGCGAATTTATTATTAGTTATTGTTAATTAAAGGTTGTTTGCTGTCCTCTGTTGACATTTGACTGTAATATATAGTTTACAAATGCTTTGGTCACAATGATCCCCATGAAACATCACAACATTTCCATGATCCATTGTATGGTATCGTAGCTCCGGTTGCTGGTGATCTACAGCGAATTTATTATTAGTTATTGTTAATTAAAGGTTGTTTGCTGTCCTCTGTTGACATTTGACTGTAATATATAGTTTACAAATGCTTTGGTCACAATGATCCCCATGAAACATCACAACATTTCCATGATCCATTGTATGGTATCGTAGCTCCGGTTGCTGGTGATCTACAGCGAATTTATTATTAGTTATTGTTAATTAAAGGTTGTTTGCTGTCCTCTGTTGACATTTGACTGTAATATATAGTTTACAAATGCTTTGGTCACAATGATCCCCATGAAACATCACAACATTTCCATGATCCATTGTATGGTATCGTAGCTCCGGTTGCTGGTGATCTACAGCGAATTTATTATTAGTTATTGTTAATTAAAGGTTGTTTGCTGTCCTCTGTTGACATTTGACTGTAATATATAGTTTACAAATGCTTTGGTCACAATGATCCCCATGAAACATCACAACATTTCCATGATCCATTGTATGGTATCGTAGCTCCGGTTGCTGGTGATCTACAGCGAATTTATTATTAGTTATTGTTAATTAAAGGTTGTTTGCTGTCCTCTGTTGACATGATTTGACTGTAATATATAGTTTACAAATGCTTTGGTCACAATGATCCCCATGAAACATCACAACATCTCCATGGTCCATTGTATGGTATCGTAGCTCCGGTTGCTGGTGATCTACAGCGAATTTATTATTAGTTATTGTTAATTAAAGGTTGTTTGCTGTCCTCTGTTGACATGATTTGACTGTAATATATAGTTTACAAATGCTTTGGTCACAATGATCCCCATGAAACATCACAACATCTCCATGGTCCATTGTATGGTATCGTAGCTCCGGTTGCTGGTGATCTACAGCGAATTTATTATTAGTTATTGTTAATTAAAGGTTGTTTGCTGTCCTCTGTTGACATGATTTGACTGTAATATATAGTTTACAAATGCTTTGGTCACAATGATCCCCATGAAACATCACAACATCTCCATGATCCATTGTATGGTATCTTAGCTCCGGTTGCTGGTGATCTACAGCGAATTTATTTATTAGTTATTGTTAATTAAAGGTTGTTTTGCTTTCCCCTGTTGACATGATTTGACTGTAATATATAGTTTGCAAATGTTTTTGTCACAATGGGGCTCAGCTGGTGCCGATGTGACTAAACATTTCAACTCACTCACTCAGTACCCTCCCCATGAAGATCCGGGTTAGAATAGGTCTTTATTAAGCCATGCTTGTCGTTGTTAGAGGTGACTAACGGTATCGTTTGGCCAGGCTCGCTGACTTGGATGATGCATGACATTGCATCACAATTGAGTAGCTCTATGCTCATGATGACAATTTCGTTGCTCCATACTCTATTATTATAGCTGGAGTATTGAGCGCAGCAACAAACAACAAACAAACAAACACTAAATACTCACTTGATACAAAATCAAACCTTTTAAATCACTTGACAGTATTTCGTTATGGTCTGAAAATGATCAGGGGAGCTGATGTTTCCAAGTATCCAGTACATGATGGACAGCATGTCCTTTCCCGTTTGCTTTCCAGGTGGTTACATCATCAATTCGACTTTCTACAACATGTTCACTGATGATGGTGATGTCAAAGCCGTGATATTTAGAGAAAACATGAAGACCTTGGAATCCCAAGGGAAATGGAAGCAGGTGGAACTCAGGCGCTTCCCTGAGGTAATAATTGGGAGTGAAGGGGCCGTTTCAATTTATAAAGTCCTTGTTTGAGCACGAGGATAGTTGTCTATCCGACACTGTTGTAAACATACCTTTATATTGTCTTGCTTTAAGCAGCACTTTCAGAAATAGGTGAGGTGAAATGGGGTTTAACGTCGCGTCCAAGATTATTGCACTTATATAGCGACGTGCATTTACGTGTATGTGTTTGTGTGGCTGCTTGTACTAGTCCGGACTGATGCCGATTTATAGTGCTAGCTCACTGAGATACCATGCCGCAGTTTAACATGAATACCCCACTTGTTTTAGCCCCTTAATGCCGAGCGCCAGACAGGGTAACAAGTACCATCTTTTAACATCTTTTGGTATGACGCGGTCGGGGATCGAACCCCGGACCTTCCGCTCTCCGGGCGGACACTCTACCACTAGACCACGGAGGCGGTCATTTTCTGTAATAAGCTAACGCATTGCATCTGTATCATTAGGCTTCTGTAGATCGGCATTGTTACTTTGTTGACAGTAAACATTTGAACATTTCACTGTATGCACTTGATAGTTTGCTCTGCCGCTGTTTTACCATATGTGAATAGTAGAATTTTTTAAACAAATTATATGTGTAAAGTAACGTTTGAGAAGTTAAGCGATTTCTTGTTGGAGGTATCCATAACAGATACATACTGATTGAAATGGACAAAAAGGGAACACAACTGAGACACAGTAAAATGATATGCTATCATGGGTTCCCAGCCTTGTCTACGGGTACCAAATACGTGTTGGAAACAATGCACACTAACACATTTAAACATTTGATTCTGACATTTGATTTGTTTCGAGCGGTTGATACAAGATATTTGCGTTGTTTTGTTGTCTTGTTGTCTTTGATATATCTGGAAGGGATTAGTTATGATGTTTAAATGACAATGTCCAGTTACATAATTAACATTTCAGTAACAATTATAATTTCCTAAAATAAAATAAGTACATGCAAATACTGACTTGTTTTTAAATTGTTATCGGATTTCATTAAGGGTAAGTGTGTAAAAATATAACTCATCAATATTTCGGTAATGAGTTAAGAAAGATGAGATCAATACTCAAAGTTAGATATTGCTACAAAAAGCAATATCTAACAAAAAATCAAACATATTTTAGCATACTAATAGTAATCACTCTCTAAAACGCGATCTATTCGCCGACAGGAACCTAGGCTTGGACATCTAACTGGTGTTCATGAGGACATACGTTACTGCCAGCATTGTACCGAGTAGGATTTCAGTAATTACTCAATCTACCCAGGGCTGTGTACAATATATTCCCCAACGTAAAAAATCGAGAGTTAGTGTGTGAGTTTGTTGTTAGTTAGTTTCTTTGTTGTTTAACGTCGCAGCAATATTCTAGCTACACGTGTGTGCCTTCAAATAAGAACAGTAACGACCTACGCCGCCGGGACTACGATGACACGCAATCAACCCTGATATTTTGAATAATTCATTTCAGTCAACTTTGCTAAAAACACGTATACATTTTGTGCGCGCACGCACACACGCACGCACGCACGCACACACACACGGACACACACACGCACACACCGTCACTCGATGAGAGAAACATGGTATTTCACTCGACACAAGGAATATCTTCTCTATTATATACTTTTTGTGTTGTTATCTACCAAACAAATTAAATTATTTCATAACAAATGTAAAACCTTGAAACATAAATTCTCCCTACCTAACACAACACACAGGGACGGTTCACCAGCCCTTGTATTTGCGACTTAAAAGTAGTTTCGTGTTTGTAAAATCTTAAAAATATGAACAAAAGTATCGAAAGATATTAAGGGTCAGGAAAATTCTTTATTATATAGATATGATTATTTACAAAATCAACTTTAACAAAAAATATTCTTGAAAACTGCCGTTGGAAGCGAAAGAATACACGTTGGTCAAGTAACAAAAATGGCGTTTTGGGAATCGAACAGTCTCGATTGACGAGTTGAATGAGAAATCTACAGTTTATAAGGAAACATTTTCGAGAGAATTACAAACTGCAAGCAGTGAATGTAACGACAGTCTGTCATAAGTGTGCCTTGTCAATGTAAACGTAACGTAAACGTAAAAAGAATGTCAACAGTTTGTTGTTTACGGGCTCGTCACTTACGACAAAGGGAGCCAATTTAAGGGGAGGTAACTCTTGTATGACAATAGTTCCGTCAAAGGGTTTGGTTCACTGCAGTGGAATATCAAGTGTTATGTTCACTGCAATGAAGTATATAATAAATTATAATACGTTAACGCCAGAAAATAATCAGTCGCGAGTATCTGCTGTTTACTCCATTTGGCGTAATAGTGAAAATGGTGAAGAAATTCATATGAATGGATCACTGAAAATCAACGATGACACCACACGAAGTCCGCTTCAGTAACCCAGATGTGAGGAGATGTCAAACATGCAGTAACACTAGAAAACGGGGATACGTGAAGGCCAAAGGCTGAAGCCATGTCAAACACCAAAGCACACCGAAAAAGTGGCATAACACATGCTTAATGCGTGTCAAATTTCACAATGATAAATGCAGAAACGGCTGTTCTCCTAGACCACACCAAACTCTAATAATCACCTTAAACACAACACAACACAATATACACTGGAACGGCTGTGCGGTACACGACAGTTTATTTTCGATGCACAACACGCAAGACACAACAGACAGTGACATCACGTCACTCCATATACCATTATAACATGTGTCATAACATATAGAATATAACATATCGAAACATACAGATGGTAACGGTAGCTGAAGCCCGACACGTAAAACCAGAGATAAAAAATTTGTTAATACAAAAAGCTCTGGAACCGTGTTCTCCCTACGAATGCAACAGCACCAGTAACTGGGGAGTATACAGTATTTGAATTACGCTTTACACACGTCCAACATACTTTTACAAATACAAATTATACACAAAATCCTTATTTTACTCATCTAACATGGGTCACACACCCCCCTCCCCCTCCCCCCCCCCCCCCCCCCCCCAATACAGCAGTATTATAATGGTTCTGCCAACCGAACATTTCCAAGACCAAGTATTCTAATGGCTCTGCAGCCTACCGTACATTGTGTAGCCAATGAAATGCAAACATATATACAAAGTATTCTAAAGGCTCTGCAGCCACAATTCACAGGTGGAAGTAAACACGATTATACCAATGAGTATTTTAACAGCTCTCCAGCATCATCAACATACATGGCCTGTCAACAGAGACAGATGACCATAACAGAATGTGGCCTCACCGCCACACGTCCACATCTCAAAACGAAATGCCTGACACATGAAAAAGATATTAGAAACGGAATAATAAAAATGAAAGAAGCAAACATCAATAAATTTACATGTTAATTGAACTGCCGTTATTGCAAGCGAGAGAGGCGACATTATAAAATCCTACCCTTATATAGCCCCAAATATCAGCGCCATCTACTGGCATTATTACCTCCCTTGATTATAGAACGTACCACTAGGAGAAAGTAGTTTCCCTCTAATTCACTACTTCAAACGAGGGAAACATCATTTCTCCTAGACCACACGAAACTCTAATAATCACCTTAAACACAACACAACACAAGACAATATACACTGGAACGGCTGTGCGGTACACGGCAGAGATTCAAAGAAAGTCTAGAGTCCAAGAGAAAGTGAAACTTTTAGCCTGAATTGAAGATTATCTTTCACGTAGCCATCTTTTGCTTTTTCACTTCTCCAACGACCATGTCTCTTAAATATGCGATCGGGGATGCCATTATTAGCTGCTGCAGATGCACCACCACTTCGAAGACTATGCAGTCCATAATGCTTTATATTGTCAACAAATGGCGTAAATGCTTCAATGAACAATTCCCTCAAACGCGAATAAGTCATGGGTACATTAATATTTCTAAGTTTATAACCAGCAATACATTTGGACAAATCTCTGAATATATATTCAGATGAATCGAGACTTATCTCCGCACTATTTAGATATCTCTCTAAACATAACACTGGACAAAGCTTGGTGTTTGTCCGCCCAATAGCCAGCCACGCCCCGTCTCTGTAGACATCGGTCTTAGACTGCTCAATGAATACCATCATATGAGCATCATAAAATACAATGTCTGATCTCGTGATCTGCAACAATTCTGCTGACCTTAAAAACCCAGCAAAGGCTAATAAGCACATTGACATAATTCTCAAATCATACAGTGATGGATCTGCCATTCTACCATCATACAACTTTTCTAGCAGGCTAATGGTAATTGGCTCCTTCTAACATACATCTTTAGCCAATTTTCGCCTTGCTGCCTCCAAGACATTACGCACCAGTGAATTATCAGTTGGACTTGCTAAACCAATATAAATATGAGCATGACGGATGCTATAGAACGCTGTCTGAACAGGAGATATAGAATCACTCTGCTGAATTACAGATAACAGGTATAAAGCACAGTGCAATGGCGACAATGGCAATTTTACAGACATCGAATTGACGATCGCCCACCTTTTCCAAGCTCCAAATCCATATGTATACTTTCTTGTTGTAGAATCAGCTCTACACCCTGCTAAGAGGCCTGGCAGACCCCCTGCTAATTCGCGGACACCTCTCGGAAGTGTAGCAATCTCATCACTATAGGTTGTCCGAAATATATCTGAAACACACAAAATACGGTCTTAATCAATCTTAAGCGCTAATATGTTAAATGAAAGATCTCTCTCCCCAAACATGCCACCCTTTATTCTACTGGCAACATAAGCCTCCTTCGATCGGAGCAAATACATCCAATCTCTCACCTGTGGAATGAATACCGAGTTAGGACATACCAATGGCCAAAAACAAGCAGAGTGCCACTCTGGTATCACAAGGGTACCCTTAGCCTTAAATTCTGACATGTGTTTGATTGCCCTCGGAATCAAACATACAGGAGGAACCACCCAATTCATAACGCCACCCCAGTTAACAGTGAAACAGTCCACAACGTTACTTCCAGGATTGCTGTATCTGGAATTAAAACAATGAAGTTTAGTGTTATAATATGACGCAAATCTGTCTGTTTGATGTGGACCCCATTTCCGTTCAATTTGCTGAAATATGGTCTTTGAAATACCCCAGTCATCATAATCAATCATTCTGCTAAGATAGTCAGCTGTCTGATTATCACATCGTGGAATCCACTGCATATACAACTGTATTGACTGTTTTGTACAAATTTCAAATATATGTAAAGCCAATGTTTGCAAATGTATTTTCATGCTGCCTTTCTCAATGATTAACACAACGTTTGTATTGTCTGTACACCACATAACACGGTTGTTCTTCAGGTTGGGAATAAAGCTCAGTAATGTCAAGTGAACAGCCTTTAACTCCCTCCATGTAGAACTCTGACGAGCTTCTTCCGCAGACCACTGACCATGGGACTTGTCAGAATCAATCTCAACACAGTACCCACCAAAACCACTATCACTTGCATCAGAATAAACAAGTCTTGTAGTAAGAGATTTATCAACACAGTGCTCTTGAAGAATGTTTGTCAATATTACCCAGCCAAAATTTCAATTGATGAATACTGTCACATGAAAGTTTTAATGAACTATGCCAAGAAGAAACCAAAAGTATGTTTATGCTTAATGATCTTGTCATAAGCTGTGATAACGGCCCCAGAACCAGTTTCATGGACACTAGCTGACCGACAACAGAAGCTACATCTCGTACTTTGACATTCTTTGATTTGGATTTTAATAGGTCAGTAATTGAACACTTCACCTTGACTATCTTCCTGTGAGGTACAGATATAGTCATATTTGTAGTCTGAATGTGAAAACTGAGCCATTCCAAGGACTGTGAAGGTGCCCATAAAGATTTTTCAACTTTAGGTACAAACCCCGGCTTAATCAAGTCATTTTTAATGACAGAACCTGAATTTAGTGCTCTTAATTCTGACTCTGCTGATAATATACCATCATCCAAGTATGTGACTATCATATGTCCTTCAAAACGCCACTTCTTGACAAGCTGGCGAGTGACTTTTGTAAAAACGTATGGAGCTGTTGTCAGTCCAAAGGGAAGTACTACAAACTTATAAAAATGTGTTTTTCCATCAGGGGCATTCCAAGCAAAGCCCAAAAAGTCAGTATGCCCTTCGTAGATATCTATATGATGATATGCTGAATGGATGTCAAACTTGATTAGCCAATCATTTGCACTGATATATTCTAAAGCAGTTTTCCAATCTTCAAATTTTTCAAAGTCTTTGCACAAACCTGTTGACGATACTCAGGTCTAAAATCAAGCGTTTCTTGCCCGATGACTGTATAGCGACAGATAGAGGATTAACAACATACGGCAGGATATCACACTCAACAACTAGTTGTTTCTTGACAAGCTCTGATACAGCTTCACACACAAAATCAGCGTTATTTAAGGCACACTTGTTATTATGCAAGTACATTTTGGGTGGCATACACAAAAATGGAATTTTGTATCCATTTTTGATTATATCTAAAACAAAGTCACTTGCACCTATCTGTTGCCAAAAGTTTTCATTCTGTTTCAAACGACCTTTAACGACAATTTCTGCAGCACCCTGCTCATATTCAAAGTAATTATCAGTCAATTTAAGATTACATGCATCGAAACATTGTGTAGATGAACACTTAACTGATAGACCTTGGCATGTGCCCTCTCTACTGCGTGGCGGTTGCTGACGGGACGCTGCTTGACAACCTTGCAGTCTGGACATTTGCGTTGAGATAGGGACAGTCTTCTGAAGTGCGTGAATTCTCCGCAGTGAAAACATGATCATTGTCGCTGACCTTTGCCTCGAAAAAGCTAGTTGTTGATTGGTGGAATCGACTGCACACCAGAAGAAGCAGGTAAAGCAAACTGCACGGGCTGTGTAGTGAAAGTCGTGGACCTGGCGCTTGACCTTGTCGAATACGGCGCATTCCGATTTCGTTTTTGCTTGATTTTTCTCACTGCTTTTAAATCAGCCCTTGTTATTTTCTTATCATCGTCAGAATCATCTGCTAGATTGTTTGTATTGTAGTTTCGGACTGTTTCCCAACCACCTTCTGATGAATCTGCAATCTTGATTAGCTTGTTCCTCTGCTGTATTCTCTGGATCTCTGAACCAATAGCACCACCTGCTTCTAATAAGTTCCAGAGTACATTAACTGTCTTATTTTATTCAACCCGTCAACACACTCTGTGTTGAAGCCAAACTGAATTTTGTTTCCCTCCCGTGACCAGCTGTATTCTTTTTCGGCTTTTATTTTTTCTTACGTCTTCAGATGTCTGCAGAAACTCTTTTCGTATTGCTGATAACTTGGAATCGATTGCCAATTCAATTTCTGTCTTGTTTGAATTAAGCTGAACCAAGATGGCGTCTAGTTTTGCCGCGGTTGATTCATCAGTCATGTTGTTAATTGAACTGCCGTGATTGCAAGCGAAAGAGGCGACATCATAAAATCCTACCCTTATATAGCCCCAAATATCAGCGCCATCTACTGGCATTATTACCTCCCTTGATTATAGAACGTACCACTAGGAGAAAGTAGTTTCCCTCTAATTCACTACTTCAAACGAGGGAAACATCATAGTAACGAACCAACATGACATTTCCAATATGGTTGCCATGATGGAAATGTTGTTTGTTGTTTGAAGCCGCACTCAGCAATATTCCAGCTGTATGACGGCGGTCTGTAAATAATCGAGTCTGGACCAGACAATCCAGTGATTGACATCATGGGCATCGATCTATGCAATTGGGATACGATGACAAGCATCAACCAAGTCAACGAGTCTGACCACCCAATCCCGTTAGTCGTCTCTTACGACAAGCATGGGCTGCTGAAGACCAATTCTAACCCGGAATCTTCACGGGAGGTTATCAAGCTTCGTGTGTTTTGGAATGGTTAATATTTTGTATAATGAATAAACACGGTGTATTTAGTTCGCCAAAGCTATTCTTAATAAAATGTTTATTCCTAATACAGGATGTTTCCGATCCCAACACACACTCTCGTGATAACCTCAATGTAGTTTACATCTTCCCGAGGCAAGAGAGTTTAACTGACTATAAAAGTCCAGTTTCCACCCTTGCCGAACTAGGCTGGTATTATGGAGTTACATTTTGGGTGGACTAACGAGTCTATGCATAGTCCAATCAAAATTGCGCTCCGAAATCGAAATCCGGTTCGTAAACCGTCATGCAGATTTCGGTCGACTGGAGGATTTGCAAAGCATGTGCACAGCTAACTGGTTGTCAACAGATATTTTCTAAATCTTTTTATGTTTTTAAATCAAGGTGCAAAACATCAATGAGTCACTGTTAGTAACTAGAATCTTATAAACCAAATATTATCTGGGAAGCAAATTTATTAATATTCTTGTCACATAGTTTTCATATGTACCATGAAGCCGTTATTTGTGTGACAAGTCGACATCTGTATAGCCTTTCATTTTGACTAAAATATGTATGTTAAAATATATGCATGATGCATGTATGTTGACTGCTTCACGGATTACATTTTTTTTAATAACTGCACCGCTCTTCAGTTCGGTAATTACAGTTGAGGTGAAATGGGGTATATTGCACTTATAAAGCGACGTGCATGCACGTGTGTGGGAGTGTGGCCGCTTGTACTAGTCCGAACTAATGCCAATTTTATACAACGAATGATAATATATGAGAAAACATGAAAAAGAGAGTGCTGGACGCACTATGATTTCAATGTTGAGCTATGTAATGAATTCTTTATTCAGAACTATACAGGCCACAGGCCCTTTGTACAAAATGTATGACACATATTAATGGCAACAATCACACATGATAAAATACTGTCCCTACTTTTTTACTGTGATACAGATATTGAGCGATATTAATAATGTTTGTTTGTTTGTTGTTTAACGCCGCACTCAGCAATATTCCAGCTATATGACGGCGGTCTGTAAATAATCGAGTCTGGACCAGACAATCCAGTGATTAATATCATGAACATCGATCAACGCAATTGGGATCGATGACATGCATCAACCAAATCAGCGAGCCTGACCACCAGATCCCGTTAGTCGCCTTTTACGACAAGCATAGTCACCTTTTACGGCAAGCATGGGTTGCTGAAGACCTATTCTGACCCGGAATCTTCACGGGTCGATATTAATAATGAGCTTTGTGTTAGGTGTAGATAAAAACATATTAAACTTATGTACATTTGGGAGTAAATAATATTTTGAAGGAATATAGAGATGGCGTAGGTGAGTATATGCAGGGCACACTTGCAGGAAATGAAACTGGTCTTCTATTAGGCCAAATTGACATAGTTTGCAAAATCTTTCTTTACGAGTAAGGGTTAGAAACGGTGTTAGATATGTCCTATATCATATTCCTATGGCTATTAAGGCAGACTGTTTATGGTCAATGGCTATTTATATTGGACCAAAATCTCATTTTTTATAGGGATATTCAGGGAACAATATTTTGGGGAAAACAACTGTGGCAAGCAATTCGAAAGGATTTTTAATGGCACATTTACCAGTGTACTTTACTTAGCATGTTGTTCTTTTCGATCACATTTTCGAAGACTGCTGGAATGAGGGTTGAATAATAAAATACACTTTCCCACTCCCTGTATTAAAGTAACGTGTCATACAAGGAATGATGGCTTTACAGTGAGAGAATGAGGATCATAATCAGGGTGATAGTGGGATTCGAACTATCGATCACAGGAGTCCTGCACGCTTCTGGGAATAGCGGAGCCTTAGCCGAATGGACCACTCCCGTCCCCGCTGTCACTACAAAAATAAACACAATATCAATATCAGTTGAAGCAAATATTTTCGCTGAACATTTGCAGTATTTCACTGTCATGTTTCCGTTGCAATAAACGTGTATGCATGTAGATTGTATAATTGCTGTCAGAAACAAATGTCCAATTATATCGACATGTGAGAGGAAAAGTCATGTTAGAAATGACATCGACGGTAATGGTGTAATTCCTACTAGGTAAGATGGTAGTTTTATCGAGAAATTCCACACTTGTGGTTTCATATTGTTCCGATTTCATCATCTACACCCACCTTCCCCAAGGGTCAGTTGTATTTTCATAAGAAGGAATGGGATATCTATTAAAAAATATCTCGTTTACTTTTCAATATTATTCATAAGCAACCATCTACCAAAATAGGAAATCTGACTTGAATCAAAGTCTTATTCTGTATCAGAACATTGTATATGCATACAACTGAATAAAATGCCGAACGACTTCAACAAGCGCATTAGAGCAAACCCACCTTGACTCATGATGACCAAAGCCTTTCAAAACGAGATCCCGCCATCTTCTGTCGATACACTTTGTCAAACTCTTCACACTGCCGCACTGTGAACCAATTTTTCCAATCTCCAACTTTGCCTGTAAATAAGTAAATACACACATCAGCATTGTAATGATTAACATACACTGACTATTGACAGTTCTTTCGTAAAATTGAAAACAAAAACTTTAATATTAAGTCGTTCTGGTAATTTAAAAGAAGAAAATTGTTCGTGAAAAACTTTGTACCAGTTATGAAAGAGCATAACCTTGTTGTTGTGAGCATATTTCAGCCATATTCCGACTTGAAAAAGTTAAAATCAAAATTGAAGTAAAACGCTACCTGCACATGCCGATTTATAGTTGTATTCAAATGTGGCCACCCTTTCTGGCTTCAGTTTATTGCTCCAGGCATGGTCAGAGAGTTAAGGGAACAAATGCCACAAGACCATGGTCAGCATGACAAATCTCTGTCGTAGATCACAGATCTGTGTTAAACTATGGATGTTCCGACAGTCATGGGTCTCTGTTAAATTTTGGATGTTACGACAGTCATGGCGCTACGCATGTCACAAGAATGTGTTAAACTATAGATGTTACGTCAGTCTTGGCGCTAAGCATGTCACAGACTTGTGTTAAACTATGGATGTTACGTCAGTCTTCGCGCTAAGCATGTCACAGATTTTTGTTAAACTATGGATGTTACGACCTTCATGGCGCTACACATGTCACAGGTCTGTGTTAAACTATGGATGTTACGTCAGTCTTGGCGCTACGCATGTCACAGATTTGTGTTAAACTATGGATGTTACGACAGTCTTGGCGCTAAGCATGTCACAGATTTGTGTTAAACTATGGATGTTACGACAGTCTTGCCGATACGCATGTCACAGGTCTGTGTTAAGCTATGGATGTTACGTCAGTCTTGCCTATACGCATGTCACAGGTCTGTGTTAAAGTATGGATGTTACGTCAGTCTTGGCGCTACGCATGTCACAGGTCTGTGGTAAACTATGGGTGTTACGACAGTCATAGCGCTACGCATGTCTCAGGTCTGTGTTAAACTATAGATGTTACGACAATCATGGCGCTACGCATGTCACAGGTATGTGTTAAACTATGGATGTAACGACAGTCTTGCCGCTACGCATGTCACAGGTCTGTGTTAAACTATGGATGTTACGACAGTCATAGGGCTAAGCATGCTACAGGTATGTGTTAAACTGTGGATGTTACGACAGTCATGGGTCTGTGTTAAAGTATGGATGTAACGAAAGTCATGGCGCTACGCATGTCACAGGTCTGTGTTAAACTGTGGATGCTACGACAGTCTTGCCGCTACGCATGTCACAGGTCTGTGTTAAACTATAGGTGTTACGACAGTCATGGGGCTACGCATGTCACAGGTCTGTGTTAAACTATGGATGTTACGACAGTCACGGGTCTGTGTTAAACTGTGGATGCTACGACAGTCTTGCCGCTACGCATGTCACAGGTCTGTGTTAAACTATAGGTGTTACGACAGTCATGGGGCTACGCATGTCACGGGTCTGTGTTAAACTATGGATGTTACGACAGTCATGGCGCTACGCATGTCACAGGTCTGTGTTAAACTATAGATGTTACGACAGTCATGGCGCTACGCATGTCACAGGTCTGTGTTAAACTATGGATGTTACGACAGTCGCAGAAACGGGGACCTGGACCACATGTTTCACCGTGGGTGCTTGGCACAGCTAAAGACATAAAAATGAAATTCGATCATATAATGGAAGAGATGACACAGTTCCCATTTTGATTGTAGGTCTAGACATTGTGTTCAAGTGCCTTTGGTAACATAAGTAACAAGGGTGAAACCATTTGAATGAGTGATGTATACTTGAGATGGTAGACAGTACAGTATTGGCTCAATGTGAGGCTGATTCAACATGTCATACTGCAAACTAAGCTGATCCAAGTCCTGCCTCTGAGCTGAGTGATCCTGACGCTAAGATCCTGGCGCCAAGTCATAGCACTAGGATTATTTTCGGGTCCATTTTGAAACACCGTATGTGTTTTCATTACCTTTGCGGTAATGGACGTGCACGCCACTCTGTGATGTCCAGGCAAAGTTTCGCTTGTTGTCCTTCATCTTGTCAAAGCTGCACTCGTCTGCTATTTTCCGGGACAGGTCACTGGTCACCGGGCAGTCAAGGAATCTGGACAACCGCTCCACAGCTTCAACTGGATCCTGGGATATATGTACATACAAAAGGATGCATGTTGGGTTACGTAGCAAACAGCAATACACATATACAAACCAATAATAAAAAGTCTTGGTCAGGCAATCCAGTAACTGAGCAACGAACAACGCGATCAATCAAGTCCGATCCCGTTTCAATCAGCTCTTACGGCAAATATTGGGTACTCGGTATCCTCGTGTCATGGAAGTTCGATCACTTACGAAAAGTCGCTGAATATTCATAGTAACATTCATATAATCTTTTTTTCAAATATCTTACCTGTGAACTTGTTTATTTATGACAAACATTTCCCAAATCCACGTATTTCCATTGAAATTTACACTCGCGGCATGGCCGCCCTCTCACTGTCAACAGAAGTGACCCAGAAAGCTACGTCACACAAGTTCGATCATTTGATTGGTTGGCTTGTCGCATAACCGGGATGACATCTATGGACGATCTCTTGTGTCAAAATTCGAATTAGAACAGTCCGCAGTTGTTTTATTACATCTTTGTCCAACAAACGTTCATTTTATGTTTTAATATTGAAAAAAAACGATGAAAAGTCACAAATATCCAGATTATTTACAAGGTTGATGCAGGGAGTTATTCTTCAGGCTCATCGTGACAGGGGCACCAAAACTCAGAATGTCGACGCACAACACGAACTGGCGTGCAGAAACGTAAATGTGTCCAGTGCTGACATGTAGGGTGGGTACATTGTGCCCAGGTTGTTATGATCAGGGAGACATTAGCTCGAACCTCATCAGGTACAAATTTGCTACATTTGCAGCACAGTTCGTCATCACTTGTCACATCACTATCAAAACTATCGTCCTGATGCGCGTTGGACCGTGAAGTTCCAGTACTTGCATTCGTTGCAGTGACAGTATTTTTTTTTTTAAAGATTTACTTGGTTTAGGTGCTTGCTTTCTTTTTTTGGGTGCCGATTTCACAGTCTGGTGGGAAATAATTTTATTCAGAATCACGTCTTCGGTGATGGCCTTGCCCCCGACAACAGCGCTCAGAACGTTTCTCTTTTTAGTAGGCACAGCTTTCTTGAAAAGTACAGTCGTCTTGTCTTTAAAGAATCCTGCTACATCATTTCCCTCAGTAGGTGAAGTGACAACCTTGTCTCCAACTGGCACACATGAATCAATAACACCAGTATCAGGATGCAGCAAAGGTTCAGTCGACTTAAAAACTGTTGATGGCGCAAAGTTGATATTGGCGGTGGAAGACTTGTCAAATGGATAGACTCCACATTTCCTGAAAGAGGATTGCAGATTTGTTGGTGTCAGCGACAGGTTATAAGCTCTACAGCCAAGTTCACAAACAGAATGTTTATCAACTGAACTTGTGGCATTTTCCCGCATATACGTATGACGGAGGTTGTTGTAAATTTTAGCAAAAGGTCCAAAGCAACCAACATCCATTGGCTGTAAAACATGGGACGTGTGTGCAGGCAGTACAAACAAAATAATGTGACGTTGACGTGCCCATTCGATGAGTGGAATAGATACGTGGGATCTATGACCATCATACACAATAAGAAGTGGACTATCTGCAGACGCGGCGACAGCATGCTTCAGGAAATGCTCTGTCAGATAGTGCTGAAAAATCTCCGTGTTTGACCAGCCAGAGTCGCTTACAGTGCCTGCTGCTCCAGGGGTACTTCCTGAAAGGAGTTCTTCCCGCATCCTCTTGCCCTTGAAAACAAAATACGGTGGTATAGAACTACCAGACGCATTGCCGCAACCTATAACCGTTGTAGTACTTGATCTTGATGTTGTGACTGCAGCTGGAGTACTCTGACTCGATGTAACAACTGATGGTGGGGTATGATGCTCCATAAGTCCCTTTTCGTCAACATTATAAATGCGATGAGGGCATGTCTTCAGGTTGTACTTATCCATGATGTGCCCAAGCTCATTAAAATAATGAGTGATCGTCTCCTCTGAGGTAGCTTTTGCTCTCTGTATCTCAAGGGATCGTGGCTTCTTCACTGACAGATCAGGCCATCGCTTCATAAACCCATAGAACCACTGAAGTGATAGGGGTTGTTCATCCTTTGACTTCTTTCCAACATATATTGCTAGGTCTGTGGCAATAGTAGTAACTTCAGCCCTTGTATAGCCATACCCAAAATTTGCCATGGCTTCAATATGTGAAACAAGTCCCTGTTCTTCTTCCATGGACAATAGTGGTTCTCTACCAGTGGTACTACATTCAATAGAAACCTTCCCACTCATCCTGTCATGCAGTGTAGCAAATGGAACAGCAAAGGTAGTGGCAGCTTTCCTAATTGCCATTCCATCTAAAACAGCATTATATGCCTTGTCTAGGGCTGCAGACAAATATTGCCTATATTGACCTCTTCTGGTTGGTTCACCATTGGTCAAAACCTGTAAAAATAAAGGTTTATTTTATATATTACCAAAACTCCAGAGACAGAAGTTCTCAAAAAGCATAACATTTTCAATAAGAAATGACCCTAATTTGTTTCCATAGTTTTAAATTTTGGCGAGCACATCACGTGTCTCATCACGTGACATTTACACCATGAACGTAAACAAGCAGACGACAGGTGTGCCGTCGATTTACAACCTGTGCATTTATTACAATTGACATTTTATTTGAGCTGATCAAGTTACATTAGTGATCTCGGGTTAAAAAGTAGTTGTTTGCTGAATATGAGCTATTACTTACGTTTGGTAACTTGACACGAAGCATTTTCCGGTCCAAGCGAACGAAAGCGGTGTTGTCAGAAGATCAAAGCTGCAGGTACCGTAATTTCTCGTTACATTTCGCGAGAAATATCATTCAAAATGGCCGATCGAAGTTACATGTCGATCGAACTTGTGTGACTTGACGATATATATACTGACCTGAGTCCTTACGTGGTGTGGGTAACATACAGCCTATGGATGATTAAGGATATCAGCTTTTCTGTCTTTAGCAATGGTTTGAAGGAAATTCGCAATGCCAATAGAGGCTGTCATGCACAGGAAGACTCCCCAAACTGCAAGCGTCTGTACTTGTTATTAAGGATTATGTTTGCTTATTTTCTTCAAACCATGATAACTTACAGCTTTATGTTCTTCATAGTGAAGGAGAAATATGGGATGGTCAGGGTTTTCGTCAACGACTCTCTCCCAATCTCTGACGTAATCAAACCAGGAACCCCAGTCCACTGCAAGATAAGTTTGCGCAATGTAATTGTAAGTTCTAATATAGTGCCTTTTTACATCCATCATATCACCGTATCGAGGAGTGAGTGAGTGGGTGAGTTTGGTTTAACGCCGCTTTTAATGGTATTCCAGTTATATCGCGGGGTGTGAGGAAATGTGTGAGGAAAGCCTGAAGTGATGCAGGTTTCAGACGTTTACCACTTCGGTGAAACCCACGAGCACGGGTATGGTGCTGACAAACCTAGAAACATAATCGGGGCGAACCGGGATTCGAACCCACAATCATAGGTTTCTGGTGTGCCCAATGGACGCAACTCTGCACAGCGAATCGCGGCGCTTTAGACGACTGGGCCCCCCGTGTCGAGGAAGGCCAAGCAAATATGACCCTCAATGCTGTGTAAGATTTCAATGGATAACAGTTACATAGTTATCTATAAGTATAGCCTATCAGATGATGCACCCGTTAGTTATTCAAGCTATTTCACGATCAATACAAACGATCTACGTCTTCGGGGGAAACTGACACAGGTGACATTGCCAATCAATATTCAACGGCACTTATGACAAGCATGGGACATGGGAACCTATTGTGGCACGTGTTCTATACTCCGGTATATGTGTATACTGTCATGGTAATGAATTGTTTGATGGGCATTACTTAGAAGTTGACGGATGACAAAGTACACACAATTTATGGATAACAACTTCTTTAATAGTGTAAAGGTGACGTTTCGGTATAGATCCGTTGTCAAGCAGGTTTTTCTTGACAACGGTACAATGTTCTATACCGAAACGTTGCCTTTACAATATTAAAGAAGTTGTTATACATACATTGTGTCTACTTTGTCATGGTAATGCTGGCACGAAAATGACCGACTTGGCATTGGCTCCATCCTCAAGTCACTCCTTCACAGATTATACAAATAATAATGACGTTTCCTTCAACATGTTTGAATTATGTTCGTTTGCGGTCCAAGGGCACAATTCATCAATATACAATTTTCAAAGACAGCATAAAAAAGTGATACAACTGATCACTATAGAATTTCCAAATGTCTAAAAAAGTGACGTCGCTCGACGGGTTGACACACAGACAGTTTCGCGAACACCTGTTGTCATAACTGTACATTGTTTTGTTTCTTGCGAGTTAGTGAGTGAATTTGGAGATAAACCATGTGTTTTCAGATTTGCGGGTTTTATTGATTATTCGATGCACGGAAATTCCATTTGGAACCGATCGCGACCGCCTATCCGTAAACACATCTGAATATCTCTCTCGTTTTTTCAAATTTGTGATTGAGAGAAAAAAGTTACTTTCAGAAATATGTTTATGTCCGTTAGTGAATTGTCGCGGGAGATTTCCGTGTTTGTTCAGGTAAAACGTTGACATGCCTTTGCACTTGTTTGTGACGGGTACCACCGGTTAGGCAGGATACGCTCATCTTTTTCGCGAACACCTGGTTATCATCTCTATTTGATAGTGATTCATTAACACAGGCTCCTGATATAGTCGGAATCATACAATCCTCTCTGAGTTTTGCAGAAACTGTTGTGGCTATGGGAGGGTGTTGTCGCTTTTATTCAACAATTCTATCCATATGGGGAATTACAACTCAGTCTTCGTCGTGGCGAAAGAACGCATTAACAACGTAGTTTCTCGCTTTATCAAGAACACTACAAACAAAGCTTAATTTTGTTGTTGTGACAGATAACATAGTGATGTATGGACATGGTGTTTTTATGTTCCTTACTCTTCCCCTCCAAGAATAGCTGCAACCAATCCTCCCAGCTGCCGTCATAATCAAAATATTCAATCGTCTTCTGGAAGTTGAACCACGACACAGCACAATCTCTTGGGTTTCTCAGCAGTAAGATGATTTTGGTTTTCTTTTTTCGCGCACTGAGAGGGAGATGGTGGAATCGAAGATGCGTATTGAGGACGCGAGGGGAGAGAAGAGCCCTCTGCTGGTCCAGGGATATTCTCTCGATCATCTGATCCTGCTTGGGCATTTCTACCGTCTGGGCACTCCCATTGAGGATCATGTTAGTCATTTCAAATGTCCAGTGCGTCCCTGTGGAGAGTCCAACACGATGTTACTTTAACATACCGTATTCGACGTAATAAGCGCCCAGGGCGCTCTCAAAATTAGAAATAGGGGGCTCTTTTTAGAATATTATTTTGGTGGAAAAAACAGAGTTGAAAGATAAAATTCGTGGTTTATGCTGACAGACTGAAATGTTTATATGCGACAGATATATTTTTTCAGAATTTAATTGCCCATAATTAAGAATGCATATAACACACGAGTGCGTATTATACGCGAATAAATAAGTCTTGTGTACATTGATCAATCGGAAGGGGTGCTAAATGGGATTGTTCACAAGCCAATATATTAGCAAATATCGCAGTGGGCGCTTATTACGTCGAATACGGTAGTATGTATAGCATGATTGAAAATCAGATAATATGCAAGGGCATATTAAGGTCATATGCTAGCCCTTAATAGTTTGAACAAACCTGAACGCATCCAGCCACAGATTATGACGTCATCATCCCGGATTTCCATATCTGGAACTCCCCGGATGAGCTGCTCGTCCACGTCCCCGGGAAACCACCTCCCATCCACGTCGACAAAGTTGAGTCCGTGTCCGGATCGATCCAACACCCGTACGCGGGGCATTGTCCACTGAGAATCTGAAATATAGAGTTTCAGTTTATGCTCGAAAATGTTACTACTGACTGAGCCTCATGCATCTATTACCTAGGTTTGCATAAGCATAGTTTAAAATACTTGAAGAAATGAAAAGCTTTGTCAATGTATGAAAAAACATACATAAATAAGCCCGGATCAAACAAACCATATATAATAACAAACATCGCCAGAAGAGCCACAACCATCTCCTACCCTGACAATTTGAGAAAAGTCATCAAGGAAAAGGACTGAGTAAGTGAATTATGGTTAACGCCGCTTTTGACAGTATTTCAATTATATCATGGCGTGTTAGGTTAATGTGGGAGGAAACCCCGAAGTGATGAAGGCCTTTGACGTTTACCACTTCAGAGAAGTCACGAGCACGGTAATGGAGCTGGCAAACCTATAAACATAATCGGGCGAACCGGGATTTGAACCCACAATCATAGGTTCTGGTGTGTTCAAGTGACGCAACTGTGCACAGCGAATGAAGGCGCCTTAGACAACTGGACCACCCGTGTCCCCACAAACAATGTGTCTTGTCCAATGCAATTCAATATTTTATGATTCAATGCATAATTCTAACTGAAACTGTACATTATTATCACATAGTCACATAGGCAAATGTAAAATTCCGCTTGAGGTGAGTCACATGTTGCCCCACATGTAAAACATTCCCTTGGCAGCACGCGACATCCAGGACGCTCTTAAGCAGATCTACAAAAGGTTTAACATTCCTCATTTATGACCACCTGAACGAATTTTCTTTCAGTGGTCTACGTCTATTTAATACAGGAAAGTATTGCAGTCAAGAGTGGATCAATTTCCTCTCTCCTGAAAATCAAGGTGTATTTAGTAAGATTAGACAAAGTCAATTTTAGCTGATAGAGAAAGATAAAGGATACAATGTTAGCACCACAATTGAATGAATGGATGAATGAATGAATGAATGAATGTATGAATGAATGAAAACGTTTATTGTGTATAGAGAGGTTATGACGCGAGTGTTTTGGGGGGATATTAGTGAGTGAGTGAGTGAGTGAGTGAGTGAGTGAGTTGAGTTTAACGCCGCTTTTAACAGTATTCCAGTCATATCACGGCGTGTCAGCTTAATGTGGGAGGAAAGCCCGAAGTGATGCAGGTCTAAGACGTTTACCACTTCGGTGAAACCCACGAGCACGGGTATGGTGCTGACAAACCTAGAAACATAATCGGGGCGAACCGGGATTCGAACCCACAATCATAGGTTTCTGGCGTGCCCAAGGGACGCAACTCTGCACAGCGAATCGCGGCGCCTTAGACGACTGGGCCATCCATTCTAACATTTTTCCAAGTTTTCCTGGAATGTGCGCATTAATATATATTACGTAACGTGTCAGTCGGACTGTGACAGTCAATATAGTTCCAAGTGAAACCTGTTTCTTGTACAGTGGCGTAACTATATATAGGCAAAACAACAATTGCCTACACAAATTGTTCCTACTTGCCTTCTCGGCAACAATCGGTCTGTCGGCTAGAGTAACTGAACTTTATCAAAGGGAAGCTTTATCCTGCTGAGAAGCCTCTCCATTATATAATTGTTTCTATGTGTAGATAAAAGTGCTGCTGCAAAACAGCTCCATGGCGCGTGAAAAAACCCAAAGAGCATTAAAAGCTCACCTGAATTAGGAAGGAATAAAGACGACCACGTTTAAATCGGATTGTTGTTCCCAACGAAAATGATTTAGATAATGGCAAACCTAAAAGTTGCTTGAGTTTGTTTCATTTGGCCTCACTGGTTTCGCCATATTCCTAGTCCGTTAACATCATGCTGCCACACGTTAACCCCGGTTCCCTCACTAAAAATTATGAGCACAAAGAAATCGACAACTTCACAAAGAAGGACTAATCAAAAGGTCAAAGAGACAGCATTGCATTAAACACAAAGAAAGGAAGCCACAATGTTTTATCTGAATAGTTGGAGATGACCCCAACCCAACTGCAAGAAACTAACTTCCTCTTACACTATGTAAATCCATTTATAAAGCGTCATGTTCCATCAACTCTGATAGCTACGCTTTCCGATCTGCGCTCTTCTTGGACATGCAGAACGAGCATGTTAAGTTTATCAGAGCATAAATTTGTACAAAGGCGACAAAAGGAAAACAGTACGCCATAAACATTTAGTTATTGAGATGCACCCGTGCCCTTTGGGATTGCCACGTGGTTATTGCGTTAGCTTGTCACGCCGTAGAGGCGAATTCATATTTCTTAAGTTTCTGTTTCTGGGTTTGTTTGCATGCTTGCTTGTTGTTTAACGCCGCACTCAGCAATATTCCAACTATATGACGGCGGTCTGTCAATGATCGAGTCTCTGAACTTTAATATTGAGATCGCGCTCGTCTCAACGTCTAACGTATTCCTTACAGTAGAAGTAAGAACAATGTAGATGCAGATGTAGAGCAACTTGTCCGTTCCAAAGTTTATTACAGGAGCAGAGAGATCTGGACACATTATCAGTTGATAAGTTTACAGTGATATACATATATATGTATGGATGGTGATAAGTTGTAAACAGTGGAATACATACATTACTGCAGATAATAATTGTTATAAACAATTACACCAGTTTAAGTAAGTAAACTGAAACATGGCTTACCTTAAAGTGGAAGTAAGAATAATGTAGAGTTAGATGACGTAGAGCAAATTGTGCGTTCCAAGGTTTATTACAGGAGTAGAGTGATTTGGATAGCTCTGCCCTGCTCTCATATTACCCAAACATTGATGAGGTAGAACGCACAGTTTGCTCTGATTGGTCAACTGTATCTTTTTGTTTAATATTTGTGGCCAACATCGAATGGGCATATACTTTCTTTTCATGTGTAGTTCGTGGATTTAACTATGATCACATAGTTAACTTAAAAGATTTATATCTAGGAAGCGACTTAAATTCATTTAAACAAAGAAGCATAAGGGTATTAAGTCCTCGGCTATGCTAATTTAGGCGGTCATTTGCTTAAGGAATTTATTTACTCAAAGAATTAAAACTGTGACACATTGTGACCACTCCAGCTGCATGACAGGCTTGACCTTTGTATTGAGATACTCTGAGGCGTTGTAATTCAACAGTGACACCGATTCGACAAAGCTGTTAAACAATTTGAATAACAGAAAAGCGAAAACAGGCCAAATATATTAAGTATAATTACATATGATATTTTATCAAATATTACAATTTCTTTTAATGAATAAAATGGGAAAATTATAAAATATATTAAGGTATACTAGAGCAAATGGTGCACTATAACAATACCCCTTACACGATGGAAAAAAACCTTTCGTGGGACAATATCTGTATGAACATGAATATTTCACACATTTTATGATGGAGAATTAAAACATTTGCTGAAAATGTTGAGACTTTGTCTCATTGAAATGGGGATGATGTCCGGGACAAATAATGCTTAATTGGTTATTCTGTTTTCTACGTGTATTTGAAAATTCGACCAATCAATAAGTAATTTATGTGGACAGATTCCCTGAATTCTTAGGTTACAATTATTCGATGAGCCTTTGAAAAGCCAGTAGGATGGACTTAAAGATAAAGACATGATGGGGAATAGCAGGCACGGGGATCTTGTAAATTGTTCCAGCATTACGTAGGTATGAGAAGACGTCTTTTTGTATAATTTGTACAAAATGACGAGGAACAATATTAGGCAAACAAATGATATTATGATGGGTACATTTGCATATTGAGATTTTGGCAATGGGTAAACGTGGGGTCTGGGGTGTTTAAGTGAGTGAGTGAGTGAGTATGGTTTTACGCAACTTTTAGCAATATTCCAGCAATATCACGGCGGGGGACACCAGAAATGGGCTTCACACATTGTACCCATATGGGGAATCGAACCCCGGTCTTCGGCGTGACGAGCGAACGCTTTAACCACTAGGCTACCCCACCGCCCTGGGTGTTTAAGTAGGATAATGATACTCTAATGTTGGGATGTAAACAATTTTGGATTGATGATATATCCAAAAATATACAATTTTGTATAAGTGATAATCCACAAATCTTTTTCTTTGTATACATTGATAAAGGGAGATAATTGCTATGTATTCGTATATATATATTATGTACGTGCAAAATGCAGTGTTTTAAGTTGATCACTATGTTTCTTTCTTTTTGTTGGTAAAGGGGGATAATTGCTATGTATTGTTATATAATTGTTCTGTATGTGCAACATGAGTGTTTTTAAGTCGATTAATATTATCAGCAAGTTTCAAATAAAACTGATATAGTGGCGTGTAACATTACTGGAAGGTTTAATTAGTACTCCACACTGTTAGCGGGGATACGTACTCTCCTTGCAATGATATTGACAGGTAAGCGATTGAGACGTCTGGTACTTTTTCCTAGCGCGGTGCTTGGTATATGAGTAGACATTATGGTCAAATAAACACAGCGGAGGTGATTGCACTGGCGGTGACCTCAATATTATAATCACTTGAAATCGATTTGTGGCGAGCTGTTGGTTTACATTGTAGACCTGACAGACAATAGTTTATTAGTGTCTCACTTTTGTACATACATAAAGCAGCTTTGTACAAATAAACATTGATAGAATGTACAGGACCATTCCACAGAATTAAGAGATGTTATTAACAGATTATCCCACTGCTAAGTATATGATAATCCGTTGAATTAACATTAGATAAGGTTGAGAACTATTTGTGCTTTTTCAATACATCTTAGACTAGTGAGTCGTCTGCTAGCCCAGCTAGAGTTCGATGATAACCAGCCTGCTCATAATTTTGCATTTTACCCTGTTCCCATTGGTGGAAAGTTTGTCGAATACTACCCCAGCTGGAGCTATCTGGTAACAATTAATCACACGCTGTCAACATACAATACAGAATAATACACCAAGGTGGCAGTTTCCATGTATAGATTAAGTATTTCCATGCAAGTTAAAGATATGTACAATATCTAGATATATATAGATATTGTACGTATCTTTAA